CAGTCAAATCGAGTAACAAAACGAATAGTTAATTAAAAAGAAAAAAAACTAAAAAAAAACTATTTGGTACAAAGAAAAAAAAAAGAATTACATTGGGTGAATTGGAAACATGATAAAAAGGTGATTAAGAGAATAATTTAAATATTAATGACAGCCATCTTTATCAAACATATATATAAAAATAAATAAAGACAGCCATATTCCAATTAAAAAGAAAAGCAAATTTTAAAAAAGGAAAAAAAAAAGTAGTAAGAATAATTTCGACCCGCGGCCCGCGCCCCCCTTTAATGTACATTCAAAGCTTGTAAGCCATCCAAGTTAAAAAGCAGATTTTGCCAATCCCCGTCCCTGCTTTCTGCTTTATGAACGTGATATTCTGATTTGGTAATATTTTTTAATTGCACATTTAAATTACCCCATAGAGAAAAAAAAATTTCGTCAGATATGAAACGCACAGCTTTATGGTCTTTAAGAAACCCGTGCTCGGCATTTGAATTTTGAAGCCAAAAGATGTGATAATTTATGTCGGTTTATTGCTTCAGTTCTCAAAATTTAATTTCTGCTGTATAATTAGGAAGCTATTGATTTGTAGGTGTATCCACAAGGAAACGTGTCAATTTCATTCTAAACATATATTTGTTTTTCCACCTCACACTGGGTTTACGGAAAATTTAGAAATATGCCAAATAAAAATTGTATTTTTATTCCCTATATCAATGTTGTTTCAATTAATTTAGTCTCTTGTAAAGAATTTATTATTGTTGGTTTTCTTTTAAAAATTTAAATTTATCAAGTTTTAATTATTAGTTAATGGTAATGGAAGTCATGTACCAAATTATTTTAGTATGATTGTTCAAGCATGGGAGACGGGTACCTGAATTTAAGATAAATAAAAGTGACGACTAATACTTTAAGCTTTTAACTTATTGGTAATTAATGGCAAAATGTCATAAAATTATATTAAAAATTTCTCGTTGTGTGTAAAATTTATGTCAAAATTTTGTAAAAATAGACTAAAATGGTCATTTTTTAAAAGCACAGGATCAAAATAAACATTTTTAAAATAACGGTATAGATACCAAAATGAACATTTTCAAAAATTCTTAGAGTATGGTGTGGTTGTAAGGGCTTTTAGGCTCGATGGTATCACCTACTATGAGGTATTGGGTTCAAATTAGTCATTTTGTTGCTCAGCCATGAAACAAGCTTCGGTTATAAGGATCTGTAATGTAAGCTAAACATCAATTCCATAGAATAAAAAAATGAACATTTTCAAAATACAAGAACTAAAATGAACCAAATCATAAATTGTAGGATCAAAATAATATTGTAATCTTTTTATAAAAGTTAAGTGAGGGGATCTTATTTATAATCTCGTGCATATTGTAGCAACACGATTCTTTTGAATTCATTCTCTTCTTACAAGTTATCGATCGTATTTAACGATAGTTAGTTTGTTAACTACTTGAGTTTAGTTCATTTTACCAAGATTAGTTAGATGTTCCCCTTTGTGTATATATTGAGATATCATTTGTTAATTGGTGTGGTCTGTTCTCATATCTGTGATACAAGTTAAGGGGATGTGGATATCTTTTTTTTGGTTGTTTTTTTTTTTATAAAATAAAGACAAGTAACATAGTAAAAACAGTTCAACCAATTAAAATCTTAAATTAATTATATTTAACAATTAGTTGATTCGTTATCAACTAGCTATTGAAATTGAAAGTTTGACCAGGGCTATTTTAAGATTTTCTTCTAAACTTCCATCAATTTTTTACTATATTGGTAAAAGATGTATAAATTGATTTAATATATTAAGTTTAATCTAATACAATCAAATGTCAATATCAAAATTTTTATTCAAGTCAAAATGTTCAAAAAGTTTTATATCCTTCAAAATAAAATAATATCAATTAATTAGAAAAACTCACTTTTGACAGAAAATGTGCGAACAATAAAGATCTTCGATGACCCCACCTCGTCTTATTATCATCTCTAATTATTAACATTTGAGAACATTTAACTATTTTTGAAAAATTATAATTAAATTGAATTTTATTTTATTATTATCCCAAATATTTGTACTTTTGAATATCCAGATTAATTGAACAATAATCTTTTGTTCTATGGCAAGTGAGAAACCTCCTCTCAAATCTGATCCTTATATAGAAAACTTTTGCTTCAAGGAACACGAGTAAAACTGAAATATATATGATTTAATAATATACATTCTGCTTAAAAAAAGAAAATATTTGTTTAAATAATATTTTGATCTCTAAAATATTTATTCTCATTTTATTTTGATTCATAAAATTTTAAATATTTTATTTCAATCTCTAGGTTTGAAAAAACAGAAATAATTTTGGTCATTTCCATTACTTATTTCAATTACCTAATAAAAACCCAACATGACATATTTTTTAGTTTTTTTTATATAATTACAAGTATTTAGTACTATGTATAGCAGATCAATTGTTAAATTTCAAAAAATTTTAAAAAGTAATAAAGACAAATTAAATTTTCATAGCTGAAAATGAAATCATAGCCATTCATACGAGCATTTATTTAGCAATTGAGGTAGGACTCCATCAAGTGATTATTGAATCTGATTCTCCTCAAGTCATCAACACTACTAAAATCGATCATGAGACTTTCAAGTAAGCGGGACCATGGATTAATAATATCAAAGCTGAGGCTCCAAAAGTGGTAAGAAGAACAAACTCGTTGTAATCAAGTCGACGTTACAACAAGATAGCTCACTTTTTAGCAGTTAAGTTACCTTTTTAGACAGATTGCGAGTATGGAGAAATTTATTTTCGTCGTGACATAAAAAGTTAGCGGAAAATGGGAGATAAGTGCATGTAGCCCACGTAGCTTTTTGTTAAATTATTTTAATTTTCATGAAAGAGAGAACATAACTAGTATAAAAATATAGTACAAAAATAAAATTTCAACTTAAAAATTAATGTTCTACCGATTCAACCAAATATAATTAATCAATTTATTGGTAGCATCTTAAAAAATCGTAAATTTTTACAATATGAATGAAGATATTAAGACACTTAAAACTAAAAAGAATACATATTTTCAAGGTTTTTAATATTGATGTCGGTGGAAATGTCGAGGTCTCAATCTTACGAAAATGTCAATGGGAGTATCGATAAGATATCGATGTCGAATTTTTTTTTTGAATTATAAAAATAAAAAATCTTAAAAAATATTTAAATTAACAAATACACATTTCACAATTTTCAAATAAATTAAAAATGATTAATATTAATATTATGCTATATTAATGAGTTTCACATTTTGTCAATTTTTTTATATTATTATGAAAATGTCAATGTATAACCTATATCGGTATATCAATAGATATTTAATACTACGTATCTTTGTAATGTGAGGAGAAATCATTCCATTTGTGAGGATGATGTGACGTATTAATAAGGATGGATCAATCAGACCACGCAAGTGATAAAAGGAACCATCACATGATGGACGGCTTTAAGCGAGGTGGTAACTGTAGTTTTGTCCGCACCGAACCCCCAYCCAATACGTTCAGCGTATTGGGACCAGAGCATGTGGAAATCATGTTAAACTCCTTCCTTGGTACGCTGTACGCGTAAATGAAGATAAAGTTTTTTTCTTTTTCTTTTTTTTTTCTCTCTTTTTTCACCCACCCGAGTTTTTATTGCCTTCCATTTTTTTTTTCTTTTTTCCCCCGCTCCCAGATGGTCCCTCCTCTGCTTCCTTTATAACCCTTTGGCATTTTCCCGCTCCGTTTTATTATTTAGTATTTTCTAAAATTTTTCAAAGTTTTTCTTATATTCTTTAAAAAAATATTTGACTTTTAAATACATTACACGCTGMTAAGGGGATCGGAGATTTGAACATACAATGTAACTAATAATGGAAAGATACACCTACTTAATTAGTGTAGATTTGTGTGAAGTAAAATTTGATGTCGAAATCAATTATTTAATACAGTACCAACAATTTAACGAAAAMTATTCGAGTCAATTAGGATAGTTAGATCTGAACACTAAAATAATTAAAGTATTGMCAACTTGAGGATAATTCAATCGATCAAAATACGTACATTTGTCATAAAAGTTAGATACCTTCTATATTGTTTGACTTTTACACATATTGAACGAATTGACTCAACTAGGTTTTTGGCCATTGGACCCATGTACCATTCATAAAAGAACAAAATCAATATCGAAATTGATTTTTTTAAATTGTACCAAACGCTCAACAAAAAYCGTTGAGCAAATAGACAMAATTGAACACCAAAACAATAAAGATCGAATATTATTCTTCATTTAGTAAACAACATGTAAGATGAAGGTTTAAATACACGACTTTTTCGTGTCAATATATGTTTTAATAAGTTGAATTAGATTCATGTTGGTTCGATTTTGTCCATTTTTTCAATTTCAGCTTTCTTGAAGTCATAAAATATATTTTTTTAAATCTAAACTACGATAATCATCGTTATTTATTTTTATAAGTATATTATTTGTTTATTTTTTATATAAAGTATATTTATTTATTGTTTGTCTTCCTTTTAAGGGATGTATTCTCGTCGTCGAGTCGTAATTTTGTTACTATGTATATTTATACTTAAATGAATTTAAATAATGTATTTTTGTAATTGAAATATAAGGCAGGGTAATAATTATTATTCCAAATTGAATAGAAATGAATTTTTCGATCCACCCGTTTAAATTGCCGGAACAAGGTATTTTATTAGATTATTTAATTTGATTCGACGAGATCGAACCGAATAAATGGCCGGTTCAGTACCTTAACACTCAGAAAAACCCCTTACGCAGACGGTTATTACAATATTATTTTTAAATAGTTTCCGTAGACCGGACTGAACCGGATAATGACCGGTCCATCATCAGAACCAAGAAAAAGCCGCTAACGCTGACTCCAATGACCGAATCAGAAGTATTTCTTTTTCTTACTTTTAATTAAACGTCCCTGGTCCATCTCTTTCTCTCTCTCTCTCTCTCCTGGAAACTCAAGCTAACAACGTAACTCTCTCTTCCCTTTCTCTTTCCATCAGCATTCGGCATTTGATCGATGAAGAAACTCGGTCAGAGTACGGAGTAGCTGATGGGAGCTAATCACAGAAGAACAAGCATTGGATCGGTGAGGCTACCGGCGAAAGAGGTAACTCGAATTCATCTTTGACTGAATCTCTCTCATCTCCTGTGCTAATGGACGCAAGAATATCAGAATTAGGGCTCAAATTGAGGCCTCATTATTTTATCCTGTACGTTTCTGTTATCTGCTTGGATGATTCAGTCGAAGCTCAGCTAATTTCTGTAATTCTCCGGTATTCTTCTAATTTTAATGTTCTTTCTCTGATTGGAGCATTTGAGGCATTAGTCTCTACTTTGACCGCTGCCTGCTAAATAACTTGCTATTTTATTGAACTGGATTTGTCATGTCATTTACAATTTCGATTCCTTTTGAAACAATCGAAGTAGATGCTTTGGAGGAGATTGATCCAGAGCTTACTTTGACGTTTCTCAGGAGGTTAATCCTCCAAATTTGCTTATGTATATAAAACAATCGTACGATTGGAAGGAATTGAAGCGTAAATTGATAACTAGACGAATTTTCCGGTGCATATCCCTAATTGAATTGCTCTCTTGCCACAGAGTATAGTGTTGGTAATTCGGTGCTCGTGCTTTCTAACTTAATGAAATTTAAATGAATTGTTCATGGAGTTATAATTTTGTACTCGGCTTCAATGGTCGTGAAATTGCTTGTCATTGTTATCGTTTTCTAGGATTGTTGCTTCGGGATATCCTCATATAGCCATACTATTATTTGATTTCTAAATTCTTTTAAGTTATCATCTATGACTTTATTCTAAGTGCGGTTAAAAATATTAATGCTGACTGTTATTAAATGCTAGCTCGATTCAGTCAAAATTAACCGTATGATTTGTCCTTCTCTTCCAACTTTAAACAATTTCGTTCACAATTTCACTTTTTAAGAGCAGCTTTGACGTGCCAAGGCACTTGGATTGATATAAACCTGTACGAATAAATTATATTTTCTCTCTGGTAAGAATAACTGCAGTAGAAAACTGGCCTAGAAGATTAGCATTATTGAGTTTGCTTATTTATTTATTATTATTTTTTTGAGTCATCATAAATTATAAAACTGATTTAAGTATAAAAATGAGTTACTATAAGGAAGAACCTTCCACTTCCGTCTTTTTATCTGCCATATGACAATATATTTCTTCATGAAAATGGAGGAGACGTGATCTACCACCGCAAGTTTGAATTCAACAGTCGGCTCTTAAACTATACTTACGTTTGAGTTAAGGTTTCTTTAGAATGTGTTTCATTGGCTCTCCTATTTATCCAAGTAAGATTTATAATTTACCTTTAGTGATGTTATGCCTTTAACAAGAAGAAACTGTGCGTTGTTTTAGCAGCTTGGGTCCAAGAAATTTGAAGAATTGCTTTAATGTGCGTTGCATGCGTTGAAATCGTTGAACATGAATTCTCGAGTTAACAGCGGTGGGGATTTTTATGCGGCCAATTTATTGCTCAGAAACCAACATCTTTATTCCGGTTCCAGACCATCTAGTAACAGTAGCTACCCCCAACATGTACGCCAATGTAAGTCCACTAATCATTTAGCATTGTTTTATACGAGACCATCTAATTACATATTGATGACTTCAGCTAATAACGTTCTCCCATCTCCTATACAGATTCATACACGCACATTTTCTGAAATGGTGTACTTGAATGGCACATCCTTAAGAAATCTTGGTTGTTATTGTTGCAATATAAAGAACTACTAGAGATAGTGTCAGTCACATAATATGTTCTCACAGTAAATAGTTTTATCTTGTTCGTTACTCTAGAAAGACGTACTCTCATCCTTTTCCGTAACCAAATTAAAGTTCTCCTGTACAGAATCATTGCATTGGGTAATATAACTATTGTCATACGTAGATTTTCTTTCCTGTTGTTTTACATTTAACGTCCTATTGACGAGTACTGAAATTGTGTTCTGTGAAACGGTTACAGATGGACTCCCCATATATCAACCCAATTATAACCTGAACCCAGCAACAACGACACAATCCAACCAAATGTCAGTTTTTACCAACTCGGTCCATTCGTCACTGGTCTCATCTCATCTGGAAAATCTTGGATATGATCATATCTCGGCATCGTCTTTTCTTGTAAGAGATGAAAGTTCAAGTTTCAGAAAGGATGGCGAGGATGACTTCATCAGAATGTTTCAAGATGAAGCACCTCATCAACACTGTGACGAACTTCTACAAAGCATTGTGGACTCATCATGTGCTGGCAATTCTACTCCATTCAAGGGAATGAAGGACTCTGGGAAGCAGAGGGATCTAGAAATTGATCTCAACAAGACTCCAGAGCAGAGACCACAAAAAAGAAGACAACATACACCAATGGCATTCTCAGGAGAAAAGTTTACTGATTTACTTAATCTTCCATTGGATGAAAGTTTAAGCCTTTACGAAGAAACACAGGAGAATTTTGTCCCAATTCTACTAGATGAAGCAACTCAGAAACGACATGATGAACTCTTGAAAGATTTCACGGATACATTATCTGCAGCCATTTCTGCACCATGTGGAGAAATGAAGGAAGTGGAGAAGGGCAGCGATCAAGTAATTGATCTGAACATGACACCAGAGCAGAAGACACCTAGGCGAAGAAAACATAGGCCCAAGGTTATAAAGGAAGGGAAACCCAAAAAGTCTCCTAAGCCTGTGACACCGAAGATCACTAAGGAAACCCCATCAGGAAAGAGGAAGTATGTACGAAAGAAGAACATCAAAGAGGCAGCTACTCCACCTCCGRACATTGTAGAGATTAAAGATAAGCATGCTGCGACTAAAACGAAATCCTGCCGGAGGGTAATTCACTTTGAGATGGAAAAAACTGGAGATGAGGACCAGGAAAAGAAACAGAATGAGAAGGACACGCAAGATGACCCGGGAAACTTTTGTTTCATTACGAGACCAAACGTTTCAGACTTCTGCACCCAAAGTAATGGTTTTTGTGAAATAAGTTCAGAGGTTCATAGCAGTCATTGGCATGGAACAGTGGTGGCTGAAAATATTCAACCAACAATACARAGTAACCTTGCTCATATGAACCACATGATGACCTCTTTCATATCACAATCTGAAAGGGAGGCAGCTAAAGACTCATTAAACAAATCAGCATACAACAAAGCAGTAGATCTGCYCAATGTTGGAAGAATTTTAGATCAGGGAAAGGCAGATCAGTATCAAAATGGATTAAGCAAGGGATACACGCCTGTTCAGCAACACGTCCGTGCAGAAGGTAAGGAGCAATTTGTAAATCAAGCTGAAAGAAATACTTATTATAAGGGTCTGATAGAGCTGAACTCTGAATATTCTCAAACAGTTCCAAATCATCCATCCAATATCAATGAAGCAAGGGGCTCAAAGAGAGGACGCCCGCATACAACTCAGCCAACACACTCGTTTCCGATAAATACCCTGGACTCCTCACTGTTGTGTCAAGAGGTACTTCGAACGGGTGAGTGCCATAGACAAGGCAGCAGCTTAAACGCAGGACCCTTAGAAATTCCTGGGAAGAAATTTGAGTCTGGACTCTATGCAACCCTTTATAAAAGATATTCTACTCTCGATGCAAATGAAGGTTGCTCAAGCCACCTCATTAAAAGAAGTTACAATTCGACCAATTCTGTTGGATTTACTGCAGAAATGAAGCAGGCTATGCTAAATGGTCATATTAGAAGTAGCCAAACCACTGACAGACAAAATAATTGGACAAAAGAAGTTAGTGGTGACAGGTATGTTAACTCAGTCGTCCATGGAAACAAATTTCAAAGGCAACAAATCTCACACAAACTGCATCCACAAATAGATGGAACGTGTGAGACCACTGGGTTGAATAAGGTTACTAGCTATCGCTCACTGATTACTGGTGACAGATGCAACGAGCTCCAACCATTTCCTCATCCAAAAGCCCCAGAACAAGGGTATGCATGCAGATATTCCAATCAAGGCAACTCGTTTGGCTTTCAGCAGTTCCCCGATAAAACAAAAGGTAAATAAAATTAATTCTTCAAATGAGGTACTCATCTTGCCGTGAAGTACTAATTGTAACCTCTTGATGTTGATGCAGGTCTACTGGAAAATGGGATCATACGCAAATTGGAGGGTCTCAATCTTAATGACGATGGAAGAACCAGCAGGCCGGAGCAAAATGCTATTGTTCCATATAAGGGAAATGGTGCGGTAGTTCCATATGTGGAGTCTGACTATGTAAGGAAACGTAAGGCACGACCCAGAGTTGACCTTGACCCAGAGACAGAGAGAATATGGAATTTATTGATGGGCAAGGAAGGAAGTGAGGGCATTGAAAATCATGAGAAAGATAAAGAGAAATGGTGGGAAGAGGAACGAAAGGTTTTTCGTGGTCGAGCTGATTCATTTATTGCGAGAATGCATCTCGTGCAAGGTTCATTTCTTATATCTTTCTATCAAATTGCTTTGATACTTGATAGAACAGCACTAATTTCTTGACTTAGAACTTTCTATTTGATAAAATGTCAGATTTTGAAGAAAACCAAAACGAACATTGCAAAAGAGGGTTTACACAATAATAATAATAGTAACAATTATCAAATTCATAGTCCATATTAAACAGGACTCGACCAATTAGTTCTTTTCTGAATTTTTAATCAGTTTGGTTCAATTTTTGTCTTTCAATTTTTTTTTCTCCCTTCATTTTAAGAATTGGACCCACCAAAGCGGAATAAGAGAAATATATATTTAATTATTTGCAATTTTCTCCGTAACTTATTTAATATTTATTTAATTAAAAAAAAAGTTCATTTTCATATTGATTTATTAGAGTTCATTTGTATTATATTTTTTTATCAAACTTTAAATTTACTCGTTTAATTAAATATGACAAAAGAAATTGAAAAAAAAAATTGTAGAATATGCAAAGAATTAAACCAATCAATTCAGTTTAGTTGTATTTTCTAGATCCGAATGACCTTGTATATAATTGAAACATAAACAGCTCTATTGCATTTTCATGTTAACACGTTTCTTTTCCTTTTTTTTTCCCAAATGAATGTTCTGCATCACATCACAGCAGTTAAAGAAAGCTAGTCACTTGTATATGTATGGTATTTATAACGAAATTGAATTGTACTTTTGGCAGGTGATAGAAGATTCTCACAATGGAAAGGATCAGTTGTTGACTCAGTTATAGGGGTTTTCCTTACCCAGAATGTTTCGGATCATCTTTCTAGGTTGGCTTATTATTTCGTTTAGAACTCTAGCTCAAGATTATCTTTGAAGCAACATTGTATACAAGTGGATCACATTTTTAACCTGCTTGTTTACAGCTCTGCCTTCATGTCTCTAGCAGCACGATTTCCTGTAAAATCTTTCAGCAACAATAGAACCCAGGATGAAGTTGGAACAAGCATAGTGACAAACGAATCAGCCGCTTGTCTACTATATCCAGTGGATTCTATAAGATGGGATGGTCAGGTAGTGTCTGTACCAAGGTTTCCGATGCCCCAGACTTCAATAAACCATCAAAGTCACAGAGAAAACTTGGGGTCTGAAAAAATTTTCACAGAGGTACGTAGTCAAATTGTGGAGGAAGAAGTTATATCCTCACAAGATTCTTTTGACTCCACGATCACACAAGGTACTGGAGGGGCCAGATCATGCTCTGGATCCAACTCAGAGGCGGAAGAACCCCTTGTAAGTTACAATTCCAGCAACATTCATTATTCAAATTTCACAAATGTCAAACAAACGGAGACAACCACCATGTTACAGAAATCCTTCAGTAACTTGAATAGCAATTCGGTTTTTGATGAAGTCTCAGAACATAAACATTGGCAATTACCAAACGGAAAACAAGATTCACTAACATCAGAGTGGAATGAGATCGACGATCTCAACGGCCATTCTTTATTTAATTTCCTTGTAAATATTGAAACCCAACAGAAGCAAGTACYAGGTGCTCCTTCAAACAATCAGTTGCATATGACGCCTGATTGTGGGGCATTGGAGGTTGAAGGCCGTGAAGCATTCAGTGAAGAGAGCATATCTTCTGGTCCCTCAATTGCATCTGGATGCTCTACAGAAAAGAATATGAGCTGCCATAGCTTAAACGTCGCGGATCTTGTGGGAACTTTGGATAAAACCAGTGCTGAAGAGAATGGACATGCAAGATCTCTAGAAACAACCAGGATGGAGCATAGCGAATCCGTTGGTGAGCACTCAGTACACCTGCAGAATAACTGTATCCAATCAGGATCTCATTGTGAATATGGTCTTCATGACAATTATGATCAATGTGAGAGGAACAAGACTTCCCCAATCGAAAGTGCATCAGTTACCAATCCTCCCCAAGAAATAGATACACCAGCCAAAATGCAGAAAAGCACCCTCTCCAATGTGGTACACGTCCCTGTGCACACAGAAAAGTTGCTTGATGTTGAGGACAGAATGCCTGGAAAGGGCAACCAAATAAACTTTTCAAATAATGAGGTCCATTCCTTATCTCATGGAGGTAATGAGGGAGATATTAGCCCTTCAAAAGCAAAAAGAAGAAAGGTCAATAGCGAGAAAAAGAGTGCAATGGATTGGGATAGTTTGAGAAAGCAGGTGGAAACCAATGGACAAAGAAAAGAAAGAAGTAAGGATGCAATGGATTCAATAGACTATGAAGCAATCAGACTAACCAACGTTCATGAGATTTCTAACGCTATCAAGGAACGAGGAATGAACAACATGCTAGCTGAACGAATTAAGGTACATGCAAGCAATTTAAAGTCCTACTTTTACTTAGGCCAGCTATTATACTAAGCAGTAACAGCTAACAACTACTTACCATCATAAAATAATGTTGCAGGAGTTTTTGAATCGTCTGGTAACAGATCATGGGAGCATTGATCTTGAATGGTTGAGAGACGTTCCCCCAGACAAAGCAAAGTATGACTTCAGAAATTATATCAATTCAAGAAAAACCAGAATACGCTGCTTTTGCGGATTTATATTTGACTTATWATWAAWTATATAACATTTTAAAAAATCTGATGCAGGGATTATCTACTAAGTGTTCGAGGATTGGGTTTGAAAAGTGTGGAGTGTGTCCGTCTATTAACACTTCATCATCTTGCTTTCCCAGTATGATTTTTCAGACAATCAATCATTTTATTTAAAAGCTTAATAGAGGGGCTTCAAATATCATCCTAAATTGCTTTCTTTCTACATAGGTTGACACAAATGTTGGAAGGATAGCCGTTCGGCTTGGGTGGGTCCCGCTCCAACCGCTACCCGAGTCACTTCAGCTGCACCTTCTAGAACTGTAAGCATTAATGAACTGATAAATGGTCAATTTTCTGTAATCCGAAATTTCTAATCTCCATGCTCCTTTCTCTGTAGATATCCAGTGCTGGAGTCGATTCAAAAATATTTATGGCCAAGATTATGCAAACTTGATCAACGAACACTGTAACCCCTCAATACAATCGTTATTCATGTTTGATGACTCGAAAATAAGCAACAAATTGAAACCAATTTCTCTAGCACTCAATTAAGATTGTAACTGACCAGGTGCCTATTTTGCACAGGTATGAGCTACACTACCAGTTAATTACATTTGGAAAGGTGAGTTATAGCACTCAATTCTTTACATCCTTTAATATATTATTGTCATCATGTGTATAGATGCTACTTGTCTCCCAAAAGTACAAAACGTATATGCCTGATGGAAGTATTGATTTGTTATTTTGAAATCAGGTGTTCTGCACAAAGAGCAAGCCAAATTGCAATGCATGTCCAGTGAGAGGAGAGTGTAAACACTTCGCTAGTGCTTTTGCAAGGTTTGTCAATTTCTTTCAAATTGCATTTGGTACACCATCAGAATCTGCCACCTTTCAAACAATTTGGTGTCGCTTTGACTATTCATATAAAACTGCAAACTAATATCAAATATATTAAAGGGAAGAGGATGAAGGGCAGAGGAACTTGTTTTATAGCATGAAAGAACCAATGTGAGGAAAAAAAATAAAAAATAAAAAATAAATCACCTGTTCACAAATATGAGTTACTCGTTTGTATTAATATTTAAGAATCCATCTCAAAACTAATTAACAAATATTCAAGRATTTCATCTTAAAACTAATTAACAATGAGAAAAGCAACTCATTTATATTATAAATTCTTGTTAAGTCCTTATTTTTTTAATATGAGATCCTTAACCTCCCTCTTCAAAATAATGTTTYTTTTAGGTTCATCAATCTTAGCTAGATCCTATTTTTGCTYTGRATACTCGTKTGAGATTTTTAAGCTATCTCAAAACTAATTAASTATGAAAGGAATAACCCACTTATATTATAAATTTGAGGTATCTTATCTTTTCAGTGTAGAATCCTTGACAATTTGTCTATAGACTTGCCTTTCCAACACTTAACTAAACCATGAACTGTATTTAGTGCAGTGCCCGACTTGCTCTGCCAGCGCCGGATGAAAAGCGAATCGTGACTTCAACCAATCCCATCGCCATGGAGAAGCAGCCAGGTGCAGTCACAAGTACTTTGCCAATGCTTCCTCCTGCAGCAAGCACATGTACTGAAAACGCCTTGGGCACCAGCAACTGTGAGCCGATAGTTGAAGTACCAGCGACACCTGAACCAGAGCCCAACGAGATAACTGAAAGTGACATTGAAGATTCGTTTTACGAGGATCCTGATGAAATTCCTACCATCAAACTCAGCTTAGAAGAGTTCAGAACAACTTTACAAAATTACATCCCGGAAGGTGACATGTCGAAAGCTTTAGTTGCCTTGAACCCCGAAGCTGCCTCTATCCCAACGCCAAAATTGAAGAATGTGAGCAGGCTACGGACAGAGCATCAAGTGTAAGTTATCCTTCCTGTTTGTCCATTTCTTTTTTAATAGAAAGCAAGTAGGCAGTGAATTAAATAAAAGTTTTAAGGTCCCTTTTGAAAACTACTGGTTTTATGATTTAAAAAAGACCATGTGTTTGTTTGATTTCCTGCCTATTGAAAACATTTTCAAAATCTAATCAAAATTTTGAAAAAAAAAAAAAAAGAAAACATAAGTTCTGATAATTATTTAATTTTGTATTTTCTATTTTTATTAATTAAGCTTAAAAGTATTACTTTCACCTGTACCTTCTTTGTTTCATTATACAAATTTTATAAATATTTTAACAATCTTGGTAGTTTTGAAAAACTTGTTTTTTTAAAGAAACTTGCCTAATTATTCAAATATATTTTTAAGAGAGGTGAAAATTTTAATAATGAAATTGTACAAAAATAAGCATAATTTTTAAAAACATAAAACTAAAAACAAAATAGTTATCAACACCACAATAGTTTTCAAAAACTTGTTTTTATTTTTGAAATTTGGTTAAGGATGTACCTACATTTTCAAGAAATGGGAAGAATATATCAAAAAAATTGTGAGGAAACAAACAATAACTTATACAAATAGAAAATTAAAATGAAAATTGTTATCAGAGCCTAAATAAAATCTAAACACCTGTCTTTATCTAAATGCAGGTATGAACTCCCAGATTCACATCCTCTCTTAAAAGAGGTAAATTTTGCCTCTTTTAGTTTGATATATCAGTACACAAAACTCACTAGAATTAAATTTATAATAATTCATTTAAACATACAGATGGATAGACGGGAGCCCGATGATCCAAGCCCATATCTTCTTGCGATTTGGACGCCAGGTCAGCGGAAATCAGCTCTATAATAAAGCAATGATTTTCTGCCCCTTTTCTGAGGAGAAAATAAAATATTATCATTATCATCCATTTAAACTTTTCCAAATATCTCCAGGTGAAACGGCAAATTCGATTCAACCACCAGAACAAAGTTGCGGATCCCAAGATCCAAACAGACTCTGCAATGAGAATACATGCTTTACATGCAATAGTAGAAGAGAAGCTAATTCTCAAACCGTCAGAGGAACGCTCCTGGTACAGTACTGAAACATTAACTTGAATTCAATTTAATGAGGACTTTAGTCTCTAAAACTTTTTACATTTCTTTGCAAAATTGAAGATTCCTTGCAGAACCGCAATGCGAGGGAGCTTTCCACTCAATGGAACATATTTTCAAGTCAACGAGGTAAGTCATTTCGAAATTTATCAATGATAGAAAAATAGATAGTGGCGAGGAAAAAAAATTATATATCTTCAACTTGGAAATTTGATCTTGCTCTATTTCTTTCCATGGAAATTTAACTGAAATTCTTTGTTTTTCATCCGTGATTCCATATGTAGTCTTTGCCTAAAAGAATTCCTAAACTAAAATAGTTTGAATTTTACAAGATTTTAGAATTGAATGACCTTTTTTTATAGGTAAAAGTCTTAGAAAATTTTTAATTTTTCATTCACGAATCATCATAAAAATGCTATATTAGTAAAATTCTTATTTTCTTTTCATTTTAAACAAATATCTAAATATATAAAACCTAATTCCATTCAGTTCAAATAAAACCTAATTCCATTCCGAACAAAACAAAAAAGATTAAACAATTTCTTCTAAAGAAAATATAGTCAGTGATGACTACCTTAGAGATAGCATGATGCTGCGTATGTTCTCTTCTAACAATTTCTTCAAACTCACAGATGTTTGCAGATCACRCATCAAGTCTGAAGCCTATTGATGTACCAAGAAATTGGCTATGGAACTTACCTAGACGAACAGTCTACTTCGGAACATCGGTATCGACGATATTTAAGGGTAAGATTTTGCCAAATTCAAGATAATGTTGAATACCACAGTTCAACATGAAAAGGTACTAAATATATGATTTTTTATGCCATTAGGCCTGGTGACAGAGGAGATTCAGCAATGCTTTTGGAGAGGTACGTATAGAATCCTTCATTTATCAAAAATTATTGCATCGATGTTTGAATATGAATGGTAATTGCCAAAATTTTAAACCCAGTGAGATATTGAATATAAAATCCACTGAAATTACTGGACCCTTAGACTTAACGTAATAGCTTGATGCCAGAATCCTCCAAAATAAACCGCCAAAAATGCTCAATATATTTTTTTTTAATTAAAACCCTAAAAAAATGTTTTCTCCCGTTCTGACTGTAAGAACAAACGACTTAATCACAACCCAATAGCCTTATCACTTCGTGAGTTGGCTTGAATAGAGGGACTTTTAAGATCTAATTTAAAGTTTGAATTATTAGTTTGTATGGATCAAATACTATTTTGATTAGATGACAAAYTTAATCCAACTGTAAAAGAAAATGAGTTTTCTTGATATGAATTCACCAGGTCTTCTATTCAAAATTTTTAACGTAAAAAAAAGCAATATATTCATCTATTTTCTTACATTTGACTTAAATTAGTATAATAAAATTATCGTAAGCCACTAAAAAAAAGGGTAGACAATCGAAAAAACTTTTTCCAAAAAGGTCAGTACCCTTTTAAGCAGAATGCGTTTTCGATTTGACAATCAAAGTATACCACTCTCATCTTTTATATATAATTTTATTTTATAAAATATTAGTGTGTGACTAACAGCAAAACTGAAAAATTACTACYTATTTACTTTTTTAAAAATAACTAATTGATTTTTGTTTTTAAGAAAATAACTAATTGGTTATTAATTGATTAATAGATTATAATGAGTTTGCGATTTCAATCTATTATTGAAACATACACACTGATATAACCGTTATAGATTGAATATGTGTTTTATGCATGTATATGTATATTAGAATCTTTGGTAGGGCATTATCATTTTCGTATATAGTTAATTCTGGATTAACTTTTTCAATTTAGTTTCTATTATTTAAAATCTATATATTTAATCTCTTATATTTTRATATTCTTTAATTTAGTCCTTCACCTTTAGTATATGTTAAAAATCAATTGATAATTATCTATCCTAATATAATACTTACTGAATTGGTAAAATTTAGAAAAGAAAATCATAGTTCAACCAATTTCTCAAAAAAAAAAATGGTAAGGAATTAGAAATTTTCGTATTTAAAATTATTTAAATTTAGTAAGTATTATATTATGAATGTTTATCATTTTCCATTTTTTTAGTTGAGATTTCAAAAAAAAAAATGTATGTTTATCATCAATCAACTAATTGTAACCTTCACTGATGATGATGGACTAGGGCTAGGGTTAATTAAAGTTTTTAAAAAAATGTTAAAACATAAATTTGTAAATGATATTATATTCTATCTTATAACCTATTTTTCTTATTCGATCCTTTTCAAAAAAATTTACCAATTGCCAAGATTTGGTTACTCAACAAAGTCAACTTTTTGTGGGACTTGCCCATCTCACTTTTTGTTTCATTTTCTTTCACTTTTTTTTTCAAATACTGGTCGTTTTTAATGTTTTAAGGGATGTTTCAAAATATACATATCACAAAGTTTTATTTTTAGAAATTACTTTTTAACTATTTTATTAGCCAATGTTATTTATTAAAAAAAGAAAAAACATCTCTTTATGGATAATATATTTTTGTGTTTAAAAATTTGAGTAGAATATAAATAAACAAAAATATAATATACGAGGATAGATTTTAAAAACAAAAAATAAAAAATGCTATCCAACGGTCCTATTTCCAAAAAAAAAAGTATCATTTCTTTTACTGATAAAATACAAATAAATTCCGAATTTTTTTTAATTATTCTAGYATCGACTAAAAATTAATATTTTAAATTTAGATCTGGGAAAACAAGAAAAYTCATTAAATAAGCTTTTTCCTAATTTTAAAAAATAAAACTGAATGACAAACAAGAYACAAAACCTTAACCATACAAGACTTTATAGCTGTTTCAAAAATATGTTTAAAGCATATAATAAATTTGTTAAAAAAAATAACTTTTAAAACAAAATTATATTTCCTTAATTTCATACTATATTTGTTAAGTTTTCTAATTTAACTATGCATTCATAATCATCTTATTTTTTWAAAAAAAATGACTTAAACGTATCAAATATTTTCAGTTAAAAAGTTATAATTAAATTAAATTAAACACGATTCTTATCAAAAGAAAATTACGATTTAAATCAATACAATACAAATTTTCAAAATCAACACATAATAGTTTTTAGAATTAAAATCTACAAAAGACACCTAATAACTTCACTCATCTGGAAGTATTAATTTTCATCCTCYGTTGTCTTTTCAAATACCACTAAGTATTAATTTATTTTGGAACACGATTTTAATCATACACAAAATAAGAAATTTTGGAGAAGCCGCCACAGTACGACAGCCGAACATTAGTCATAATTTTCCTTCTATGAAATAGTTTCATATTCCAAAATAAATTAAACTATTATCTATTTTGCTTGAAAAATTGTTCATTTTTTTTGGAGAATATTGTTAAGAGTATGAGTCATTATTCTATTATTTTCAAAAAGAAAAAAGGAAASAGAATGAATCCTTATTCTATTAAAAATAAAGCATTTAAATTTGAAAAAAATAAAAACAAAAATCATTATATCCTTTGTTATAACAATTACATGCAGCAATGTGTTCCTATAAGTTTTTTTTCGTCTCTTTCTTGTGTGAATGTATTCCTATAAGTTAGTAACATAAGTATTTCAATACCCTTTACTCTCTTAGTCACCTTTAGGGTTCTAGACATCTCGTTTGGACTAGGTAGATTCAAATGGTCCCTCTACGGCATTCTTATTCGTTGAAAATTGCTGTCTTTGTTATAATGCGTTTTTTTTTAATCTTGCTAAAACCCTTTGCTGGATGGCTTCTATGTATCTGAGATGAATGTACGTTGGAATTAGAAAACCTTAGAGGTGAGACTGCTCGCCAGATTTTGAGAGGTAATATCAATGTTTTTTATGATCCCTTGGGGGTATGGCTCTTACTCTGTCATAGAGGAAGTGGTTTGACCATTTTTTTCTCTTCCAAAATGGAAAAATCAATAAGTTGACTGATGATGTCTCGTYGTTAGATATAAACCTACGATCATCAAGGAGCTCTGTTTAAGAGGCGGTGTAACGCATTGAGAAGGAAGCTTTATGGGCCAAAATAACTTTCAGCAAATATGAGAAATGGTTAATGCTCTTGGAATGTCCCCATTTGCAAATCATAACTTTGTGGCTCCATGTGTAAGAGCAATCCTTTGGGAGAAGATTTGCTAGGGATGTTAGGGATATATCAGTAATGAACAGTGAATGAAGTAGAGGAGTCTGGCAGAACCAATGGGTTGTAAATGGAGTTAAGGGCTTAGGATTTACATATATTTTCAGTATAGGTTTGAAAGAGAAGTGCCAGTGAAGGGGATTGAGATTTCGCATACTTTTCAGTATTAGTTTTGGGAGAAACGAAGCGACTAACTATGATGCAAACGAAGCGACTAACGAAGGGGATTGAAACCTTTAACAGAAAATCATAGCCACCTTAATCTTGCTCTTTCTATGATGCAATTGTTTTGAACTTGTTGAGGAACCTTGGAGAAAGACCACCAAAGTTCCTAGAAGTGTTCTTAGAAAGGATTGATGCATTCATTTTTAAGATCAYCAACTTGACATATGTTGCATCTCGATGAATGATCTTAAAAAGAGGTTGAGGGAATTGGGAACTCAAAGGCTCATCTTGCCAAATTGTGCCTAGTGGATGCAAAAATCTTGGACCACTTCATTCGGATTCATAAAGATAGACAGATTTTCAGAGATCTGAGTTTCCTGCTCACAATTCCAAAGGGCGTGGTTATGTGAGATTATTATTTGGAGTATATTAGTAAAAATCAATGAATTGGCTAGAAGAGTTAGTTAGAGTTGGATGGTATATACAGTGAGATGGGGCTTGGAGTTTGCCCATATTTTACTGGGTATATTCTTTTCAGAGAACTAAGTTTCTTAGCAACCATTCGTATTTTTCACACACCCCACTAAATTTCCTTTCAATTTCTGGTACCTATCATGAAGTTTCTCCCCCCCTCTCTWTGAGCATCTCATCTAGAAGAAACCTGAGATTTTTTAGCTGAATGTTGTTAGAATGCAATCTTTCGGGAGATATTATAAGAGATATAAGAGGATTTTTCAAGGGATTGAAGGATCTTTAAGATTAACTCGGAACATTGTAACTTCTGTGTCTTCCTGATGGAGTCCTCTCCATAAAAACTTTTGGAATCGCCATATTAGTTACCTCCATTTATCTGCAGATGTCTCTAGTACTTGTAACTCTACTGTTTTGGGAAGATCCTCCTGCGCTCTTCGCTTTTCATTTTATCAATCTGAGTGTTTCTTAATATAAAGGAATTGCTATTTAGGAATTTATAGTACCTAAGAAATCCAATAAGATTTAGGACTTCAAAGAAGCGATGGACTTCTGCACACCAATCAGTGAGAGGTTTTTCTAGCCCTGTAACATGATCTCGTCTACAAACTAATGGGGTTTGTCTCCTTATTTMGAAGAAATTGACAAGATTTCATACCTAAAGTGAGAAGAATGATCACCTTGATAGTTGATATGCATTCCCTGATGTACCAAGATTCCGATCATCAGTATCTGAGGGAGAAAATTTTGAAATAGAGCAGAAACACATGAGAAAACTCTGTTAATAAAGTCTTCTAAATAAAAATATTTTTCATCCTCTATAGATAAACAAAATTCCCAATGGAAAATAATATATATTCTAGTTTCCATTTAAAATTAACTATCTTATTATGCATTTAAATAGGATCTCATCTTCTTATGATGTGGTCGCGTCGCACTATCAACAATGATTGAGCCTCGAACTATATTTCCATTTTAGTGTGTGTACACATGCTAAATTTTGAGTGATGTTGCAGGATTTGTTTGTGTCAGAGGATTTGATCAGAAATCTCGGGCACCCCGGCCTCTTATTGCTAGATTGCACTTTCCAGCAAGCAAGCTGGCCAAGATGAAAAATGGACATACAGAATAGCCAACTTTCTATGTAAAAGGCGGAAAGGTAAAAGCAAGAGCAACAGAGGATTACTGACTGCTAAAGAAGATCTCCAACTAACCTATTGTTCTAGATTCTTAATTATTCTTGGTCTAACGTGAAATGCAATCACTGCATGTTAGCCAAGCGGCAGAGGAAAAAATTACCAAATTGAATTTTAGAATCCATAAGTGAGATGTAGTCTCTACCCTCTATTGATATTCTTATGATTATTCTCAATTCATGCTCGAAACAGAGCCATTCTTCAAATCTTGCCTGCGTCTATTTTTCTTTTCTAGTAATTTCTAACTTTTTTATGCTAGCTCACTCGGTAAAGTTGGTATATTAATGATCAAATTGAAAGTTGCACCAATCATCGAAATAAAAATGAATGCAAAATCAATGTCAATGAGAAAAGGAACCCAGCATAGTTTGCATGAAAAGATTGAACATCAGAAGGCATGAATCTAGAATTGATCAAATTTTAAAAGCAAAAGCAATGGTACAAACTTGTCAATTATTCGTCCGTACCTCACAAATGAAATGGCGTCAAGTGCACCGCCAACACCTACAAGTAAAATAAGCAAAACAAAAAAGGTCAACTACACAACTAGGTTACTAGAGAACTTTCTAGAATTTGAAACTGAAAAGACAATGTAAGGATAGCTAATGTGCAGACTAACTCACGCGATGGGCAAAAGGAAAAGGACTACAAATTATATCCGGGTAAAATGCAAACAAATAAATGTATAGCACCCAACAGAAATCTGTCCAAAATCATGTCCAATTACTACAGCTACTCTCTACTTTACAAGTTATGAAGCTTCAAATAGTTGAAAATCATGAATCCATGACCAAAATGTGGAAAGATCTCAAGTAATGCAAGAAGTGAACCTCGAAGCAAGAAACATAAAAAAGACGCGCGTGTGTGTATATATTATTATAATAATAAAAGATCCCCGGCACATTGAAGAAATATACTCCAAGGGAAAATGCAAAATGAGAGGAGTTGAAGAACTTTAGCAAAGTTGCACTCACTCGATAGGAGGAGCTAAAAAATGCTGCATCAAATTATTCCTATTGGAATAGTTACATAAAACAAATTGACAACAAAAAGTAACCTAGGTGTCCAATGATCAATAACGAATTAGAATCTTCATATTCAACAGTAAAGATGAAAAAACAAAGCTTGAATGATTCTGACTCCCAAGTATAGATTACTGGACCCGTGTTCATTGGAAAAATAAAAGCATATACAACCAAAGACAACATGTGAGGTCTAGATGCATTTAGGCCAAGAGAAACTCGGCTGAATATCACAAAAATATAAACCTTGCCCGTTCAAAACTAAAAATGAATAGAGAGGAAGGAAAAACAAGAAGAAACAGAGGCTTGATATTTCTACCTGACTGCCAGTTTAGCTTCAAATCTAGACATCCTTCAAGCTTACATCCGAGATGGCAATCCTGTAATCATACCATTACACAGTAAACTAGACAAATTAAAAGCATCCAACTAAAAACCGGTATGTGACCATAAATGCATGAATACACATCTCCTAATTCCATACCAAGACATTTAAAATCCAGATAACCATATGTATAAGACCCAAATTTCATATACTAAACATTTTTTTCCTTAGTTATACATATAAATTAATATGCTAAACTTGAATGAGAGAAAATAAGTGGACCCAAATAATCCTGATATGTAAGGTTATAAAGTCATATATTACAAATAATCAAACCAAAACAAATGGAGGTATTTTTAAAGTTCAATGACAGCAAGTTGGTGAATCGAAGTAAAAACATTTAAGACATGAGTATTTGGCACATTAAGTAACAGCATTCTTAACCTTAACAAACGATAGAAACAGTTTCAACTCATATCAATATTTTGTATCCAATAGATAACAATAAAGAGTAGTTTGAGTATTTCCATATAACATAGCTGGTTTTATTCTTTTTCAAACATGAGTCAAGACGATACTATGCTCCTGAAATCACTGTTTACAAACCTATATTTCCGAAGGAAGAACCACTTTAGTTGTTCTGAAAAACAGCTCATCTTGAATAAAAGGAAAACAGGTTTTGGAAAACATTATTAAATATCTTGACAAACAAATAAACAGAAAATATATTGTTTTACTTTTAAGAAACAAAATTTTATTTTTAAGCTCCACTCTTGACAAGACATTCCACAGTTCTTTTCATTACAATTCTGATCTGCATACTCACAAAAATTATAGGCCTATTAGCTTCAAAATGATGAGCCTAATTGCTTCAGTCAACTACTCAACATGGGTTTCTAATATTAGAAACCAGGATGTCAATTTCTTTGGATAATCACCTAGCATTCATATTATGAACCACAATATTTTTAGTTCTCTTATTTTTAAAAGATATTTCATAAGTTCGAATAAGTCAAAATAATGTTTCAAAGGAAACCTAAACACAATGAAAATTTTGGAACCTTAATTGCATTGATTATGAAGTTAGAAGAGTCATGGAGGATTTCAAGTGTAAAGTCAGAGTTTGGTCTCTTTCAAGCCAGGAGAGGAGTTTATATAAAATTTCCAGTCACACAAGGTAGCAGCTACCATCGGATTCATGGTTACTACACAAAATAACCTAATATACACACAGAATACATGCGAATATGCTATAAATCATTAACCAAGCCACTTTCCGACCTAGAGTTACCAAAAATCTCACAAAACAAATCAGGAACTGTACCACCTGAGGAACTCATATCACTAATATACTTTTCAACAATATGATGAAGTGTCACAATTCATGTTCTTTTATATAGGTAAAACAGTAAAAAAAAATTATCCGATGTGAAGACATCCAATAGATCAAGAACATTATCACAAGGAAAATTGAGCATAATGCTTCTTATTCTCACCCCATACATATTCTTAATGTTCGCTCAAATATCATGAACTGTAAAAAATCTCAAAAAAATAAATGCATTGCATGCAAACTTAAGGCATAAGGTATGTACACAAGCTCCTTGGAGCCTAACCATAAGATGGGACACGTAGTGTACATTAAAAAATAAGAACTCCAAAGATAGATCCATGAGAAGAACTCTTAAGTATATGGATATAGCAAACCGTACATTTTTTTAATATGTTCAAAGTTTCCTACACAAACAAATAAGAGAAAACAAGAAGTGATAATACTGACCATTGTTTGATTACATATACTTTCTTATAGGAAACAAATTTTATTGATAAATGCAACGTACAAAAGAAGTCCAAGGCCTAAAACCAAGTTGCAAAAAGGCTCACAACTTGGCTATAATCATTGAATAAAAAATGACAATACTATCTATGGTTGAACGTGTAAAGGAGATAAGAGAGGTAAAGATGAAGAACCGGCTCAGGTACAGGTGACTTAACTGTCTGAATTAAAGAGAAAAAGGTATTTCAGCATCAAAAATATATATGTAGAAATCATTCGGATAGATATCCGAGAGAGATTGATGTTATTGATACAGGAAAGAAGATCAAAGGTTTGTACAAATGAATCACATGTGCTGCCCTTAGTACTTGCATGCAAGTGCAACTGCATAGTAACAACATGCCTTAAGAAGGTGACGTTCCATATAGTTTTAGTTCTATAACCAACTAGTTACTTAACTAAAGTTGCTCTTATGATAATTCCTTAACGATATAGATCTAACAATAAGCAGCCTATTATTCTAAATGACTCGGAATTCTCAGAGTCTGTCAAATAATTGTGCAGATAGAACTTTAAGATTTAACAAGACAGTAAAACATGCTGACAAATTATCCAGGTAAATTTCAAGTTTCAAAGGAGATACCTGCGTGCTAACTCCAAAGTCAGATAAAAAAATACCATGATCAAGACAGAAATTAGCCAAATATTAGTAAATTTGTAGATCTTTTACTAATTCGTGTTTAATCCTATTAGTAACTATTTTATAGCCAAATATTGCGATTACAACCAACTTCATCGACACATAAAATGTGAATGAGTACTGTAATGGTCCTGATGGATACGAGAAAAGGAATCGAGATAAATATGAGAAATTGTACCATGGAGACCACGAGTTTAAGCTCGGAACTGAGTTTGCCAATTGATTCAGGTCTTTCACAATCATCAAACCACCAGAGGAAAAAAAAAAAAGAATAAATCCATGCTTGATCTCTACTACTTCGTACTCTAAACATTAAACAACTATTTTATAGGAAAATAGCTCTGTTCTTTCAATTCGTAAATCCGTATTTTCTTCCATTAGCATTTAACAGCATCCGTCAAATTTTCGCGCACAGCATCAAACATTCGTTACCAAACAGAAAACAGTCCACTCGCCAATACCTTTCACAATATCAAAGGAACTCACGCATGGTCTTGATCATCCAAAACGATCGGATTAATAAATCCACACATCCAGGAGTGACTAAAAACAAACAATCCAGGCAGAACAGACGTAAAGAAAATGAAGAAAGATACGCCAGAAAACAGACCACAACGTTTCGCGCTCTCCTATTTTTCACCGTTCGAGACAAATCGTACGGCCACTGACATACAACTCCTGCTTCCACGATTTTTCTCCGGCGAAAAACGATAAGACATCGGAAAGACGAAGAAACAGAGATAAGCGAACAGATGGAGGAGCAATAGTCACGAAAACCTAGGGTTTCGGAGGAGGCGAGCACGAGTTTCCGATTAGAAAATCCGAAAAAGTAAAGCGCACCTGTGATTGATTAGCTTGAATCGTCGCAATCTGAAGGAGACGTCTACAGAGGAGGTGGAAGGAAGCGTTCGGCGATGGCGAATCCGGAAGATGGAGAGTGATGGAGGCTGAGCGGAAGGAAGGAAACAGCGATCGCGAGAGCCGAGAAGTTTCTAAATTTGGAGAGCTTTTTTTTCGAGGGACGAGTTTCGCGCCTCTTTGTCTTCCAAGTTCCCTCCGAAGTATATTTGAGCGCGTTGCATGCGTTTCGGTGAAAACGTGGGGGAAATCAAGGACAGCCCCATTTTCTTGCTTGAAATCGGGGATGAGAGAGGGGTAGGCCATTCCAGCCACTCCATACTTCTGCAGTCTCGACTCGAAAAAACTCAACTCCAAATTTAACAGCTTATTTAATTTAAAATATTATTTTGATCTTTGTATCTTTATTATGATTCCAAAAATCATTTTGATCCTTTTAAATTTAATTTTAGTTCGTTTCAGTTCTAGTCCTTATCGTATCTATGATTTCTGTTCAAATTTTACAAATAAAAATAAAAATATTAATATTGTAAACGTATCGAAACAAGACAACATTTTAAAAGTATAGACTAAAATAAACCAATTTTATACTTTTAAATATTATTCTTAATATTTCGTAAACATTTCAAAAATACTTTTTTAGCAAACGTTTGTTAATGGTTTGAATAGTTGGTTGACATGGTAAAATTTTGGATGACGTGGTATTTTTTTTAGTATAACATGTGAAATGGGAGATCGAACTCACAACCTCTCAACTGAAGATGTATGAACCATACTCACTTTGACATTAATTAATAAAACTTGCCTCGAACAATTAATTGACACTACAAAAAAAAATATTGATCTTTAGCATTGTCAATTGTGGATTCATTGTTGTTTCCACACGTAAAAAATAAAAATTTTGCTATCATTAGATGTCAAATTTGCTACRGTGTCAATTAATTATTATATGCAAGCTCGGCATCGTTCCATATTCTGTCAGACCAACCTTTTATTTAAAATATTAACAAATGTAGTATTAGTAGCAGTATTGAAGTTTTTTAGATGATAAAGGTATTTTCTGCAATTTAAGTTATTTTTATTTAAATAAAAGGTCGATTAACCATTTTGAAAAACTGTTTAATTTGTTTCCACGTGAATAATTACTTTTTTCTTTTAGTGTATTTATTAGTAATAATTTTATCATTTGTAAATTAGAATTCATCGAAATCACAGTTCTAAAAACAGATGGTTTGGATCGTAGCTGGATTTGTATTTGAAGAACGAATTTTCTTTTTYCTTTCTTTCCAAATTGTCGTCCATGTCAATTTCTGCAGTAGTGGTTATTCCAACTTACTATTTATGAGGACAGTCGTCGGGTACACGGATTTTGCACAWTAATATGTATGATGGATATTCAATCTTTCTTTTCTTTTGTTTAACGGATGAATTTAACTAATTGGCATGTCAAGCTGAATTTGTAGAAAAGATAGAGTAGAGAGATTTTTTTTTTAAGTGGTGGTCAAGAAATTTATAACCAATGACAAGGAAAGTATTATTTTTATAATAAAGTGCAAACTTTTGTATTAGTGTTTTTTTTTCCAGAAGTTGGAGTCGGAAAAATTTGAATTAATGATCTCTTAATACATAAGTTAATATAGTTGAGCTAAGCTATGTTAGCAACTTTAATACTAGTTTCTTGACAATACAAATTCAATTTTGATTCGAAGGTACATCGCATGGTAAATAAGTCAAAATGTCAATTCAACTTTAAGATGCATGACACGTAAGCAAGTGGATTTGGCTATTTTGGACTCACTTTACCTATTGAAAATGAAGTTTGGATCATATATATGAGAATTAGTATCGTACCATTTATTATTTATAACTAATTATGAACTTATTAACTAAARCGTGCGCCAATAATGTTTTTAATTCAAATAATAATTATATTAATTTTAATTTATTGATCATAAATATTTGTTCTTATAAAAAGTTAGTCAATATTAATAAAAATTAAATAAAATGTCATCAAATAAAAGCAATTAATATAATTTTTATTAATAAAATCATCACTGATATATAATTTTTATTAATAAAATCATCACTGATATATAATTTTTGTTAAAAAATCATCACTAATATAAAATATTTTTAAATTTAATTATTATAATATTCAACAATAACCAATTATATTTTAAATCGATATTGATTAAATAATTGATAAATTAAATAAAATTYTGTAATGTTTTATAATAAGATTTTGAAACTGCTGATGTAAATTAAAAGAAAAGAGAATAAATTAACGTGGATTAATTCTGACCCTCGATGTGGAAATGAAACAAAAGAATTATTTTATAGTGCAACGTTCCTGTGATAATATCAGATTTGACAATTATGGCTCTTTTTTAATAATTTAGAATTSGTTTGATAACATTATCATTTCTTGTTTTTCGTTTTCAATTCTCTTAAAAATCTAAGTGTTTTACAACTAACTTTATTTCTTGTTTATACTTTATTGAAAACATTCTTGTATAGAAATTTTGGAAACAAATAAAACAAGTTTCTCATTTATTGTTTCTATTTCTAATTTATTCTCAAACATAGATAAAAATATTTTTTTTATCATATTTGAATTATTTGAGGTTGGAACCATGCAATAATTTTTTTTTATTAAAAATAAAAAAATAAACAGGAATGTTACCAAACGGCGCTTAATTCCCTCTTTATGCCCGTACGAGAAATTGTTCAAATTTTGATCTTTAGAAATCCTTTTACTTGCATGGCCCTCTATGTTTAATGTAGGACAAAGTTTTAAAATAATCTAATTTWAAAAAAAATTACAAAAATAATGTTAGTCTAATAACTACAAAATAAATGTAATTTAAATAATTAAATTTAAATGTAAGTTAGGTTTTCAAAACTATTGACAAAAATAGGTTAGGTCAAAATAAAAGTCAAAACTCGCGTACAATGKCTGCGATTTCCGTGCAAACGTGTATATCTAACGTGTCAAGTGATTAGGTGGAAATCGCGTACATTGTCCGCGACTTTTACCTTTTTATTTTTTTATTTTTGGAAGTCCACCTCTTTATTTTTTAAATTTAATTTAATTTATATTTTATTATTTTATTAATATTTTAATTTATATATTGTTATTTTATTAATATTGCAAARTTTAATTAAGATGTGATTAATCTTTTTGTTTTTTTATTTTAAATTTGGATTAAAAGTCATTTAAAGTCTAAAAGTTTAAAATTATATTAAAACCGATTAAAATGTCATTTAACTTATCGTGTTTCATCTTCGTATATTCTATAAAATAACATTTAAATTTAATATAAAYTAAATCGATAAAAAATTATTAAATTAATAAAAACCTAAAAGTCAAGGTATAAATTACATGAAACCCATATGTTTTGTCATTTGCATGGCGAAATATATGGCTTTAAAAACCCAAATTTTGGGATAGGTATAATTAGG